GGGGGTGTCCCAAGGAACAGTGCACCCCGCTGGAGAAGAGGGGTCCTGGGTCAGAGGGGGTGGGGGGCAATTCCTTACACCTCACCTGAGTCAGTAGGAGAGGAATAAGACAGTTTTAAACAGTGAAAACGATGTAGAGATTTATTAGGAGTATGTTATAGATGCAGGTTAATGTTCAGTGAAGAGTATTTTTATTTCTGTGTTGGGAACAGCAGTTAAAGCAGGATTGTGTACTGGATGATTTTGGATTTGTAGTGTTAAAGATTTTTATTAGCTGCTAAAAACAGCAGTGAAGAGTCAAATGGAAAAAACATTTTTTTCACCTGCACTGAAACACACTCCCATTGGAGTGAGGATTGATCCACTCCAGGTTCAACAGAGAGCTTCCAGGAAGAATTGTCCAGCTGACTAGAAAGCCCAAGCATGGTTTCTGGTTTTAAGTACATTTTTGGAGTTGAAATATCACGTGTGTATACTTTAACATTCTAATGCAGAGCACTTAAGACAAGAGCCCTGGTTAGAGCAGGTTGATGTGGATCAGGCTGCTGTGTGCTGTATCCCTATATCCCTATATCCCTGTGTCCCTGGACTGGCTAGCCAGCTGCCACCATGTGCTCTGGGGGGCTGGGGTGAGATTAGCTTGGATCAGCTGACCGGGGGTGGGGGTGGGGGAGAGGGCTCACCCTGGCTGTTTATAGTGCGGATCTCAGGAGCCAATAATCCATCTTAAGGAAACCAGCCTGGCTTGAACTTCCCACACTGACTGCAGGCCTGGCAGGAGCTGCGTGTGTAATGCGCGGGAGCTCTGTGCGACAGTAATCCAGGTGCTATGGACCTCAGAGGAAGCCATGTGGTCTGCTGGCCGCAGCTGAGGGACCTGGGAGAAGGTGCCGGGACTCCTGAATGAGCCAGGGGTGGCAAGACCTGTTCTGGGTGGTGGCTCGGTGCCCAGGTTGTCCCTCACAACCAGTGAGCCCGATCTCTGAACTTGTGAAGTGACCCCACAGATGGACACAGCTCCTCAGTCTCGTCAGCAGTCAGGGGGCCTCAGCTGGGGCCCTGGTAGTCCCCCAGACCTGCCTGTAACCTCACCATAGTGCTGCTGGAGAACCACCCCACGGGCTTTCCGATATTGACTTACAGATTGATTGCTGGTTGTGGAGCGGTGGGGTTTTCCGAGACTGTTGTCCTGGAAATGTCTTAATTGTTTGTTTTTTAAAAATAAATCATGCATACTGGAACTGTCCACTAAAAATAAGTTATTTTTAAATTGGGTGATCTATTTAAAGCATAATATAGTGTTTCTATATGTAACTGAGAATTGTATTAAAGAGAATTCATTAGAGAATTATTTGAGAATTGATACTGATTGACGCACATTGCATTGTGCGATAGTTTGTCAGTGTCCAGTAGTGTGAGTGTGCCTCAGTCAGTGTGCCAGTGTCTGCTACTGTGCCTTTACAGGACCAGGCTGTGTGTGAGACAGAGTGTGGCGGTCTGTCTGTGAGTGTGGGAGAGTATGACTGTGTGGCTGTCAGTGCGTGTGTCTGGGTGTAATTTGGTTCCGTGTGTGGGATTCCAGAGTTGTAGCAGAGCAGTGCTGGGACAGAGGCAGGAGTGTGTATGTGTGTGTGTGAGCTGGGACAGAGGCAGGAGTGTGTGTGTGAGGTGGGACAGAGGCAGGAGTGTGTGTGAGCTGGGACAGAGGCAGGAGTGTGTCAGTATGAGCTGGGACAGAGGCAGGAGTGTGTGTGTGAGCTGGGACAGAGGCAGGAGTGTGTGTG